GGGGGGGGGGGGGGGGGGGGGGGGGGGGGGGAGAGAGAGAGAGAGAGAGAGAGAGAGAGAGAGAGAGAGAGAGAGAGAGAGAGCTGCTTCCTTTGTGAGAGGGGAATGTTATCTGTGGCCTCTGGGTCTCCTAGCCTTACCTGAGGTGTGGCCAATGAGCCCTATTTCCTGGCCTGAATCAGGGCTGATTTAGCCAAAAAAATTACAGAGAGCTATATGAATTCTGTGTGCTATCAGAGATGGGTCCCTGTAAATACTTCAACTTTGTTCAGCTGAAAATTCACAATACAAAGTATATGGGGGTAAAAGTCTGAGGATCATAATGTATTACTTACTACAAACAGAGCCCTCAGTGCCTCGGGTGCCATAAGGTTACTGCCTGTAACCTGTGTACTACCTGTTCAACCTCCCAGTATACTCCGGGCAATGACCTCCAGCCCATGTATACTTAGTACATCACCTCAGACGTGCAGCCCTCACACACCCAGTAATGACCCCACCACACCCTCAGATCTCTCCCACTCAGGACCCTCAGACCTGCAGCTCTCAAACACCCCTATCTTACACTTGCATCAACTCCCATACCAGTGTACCCCCACCTTGGATGGCCACTCCTCCCACACCTTGCATACCCCAGCTCAGGCCTGTGCACTTGTCTTACACTGTCTATGTACATTTAAAAGCTCACAACAACCTCCATCCCTCTAGTACCAAGCACTGGCCTGATACACAGTTGGCTTCAATAAAATGCAGTTCATATAAATACACACATGACCTAAGGGATGACTACATGGAAGAAACAGAGGTTCCACATCTAGAAGCAGGTATACCCTGACCCAGCTATGCATATGGCCCTAGGCCTATGGTCTCTACAAATTTGCTTGAAACTACTGGGAAACATGGTGCTGTGCCAGCTCTGTCAGGCTCTCCCTTCCCTCCTCCTCTGAGCTTTCTGTAAGATCAATACCTACTTCACAAGGAGGCTGAGATATGTCCAAAACAGTAAACAGTGGGATAATATTCAACCATGCCTGACCTTTCCCCATCCAGACCCTCTCAGGGCTCATGCTGGCTTCTTAGCCAGAAGCTAAGACTCACGAGCAATGCTGTCCTGAGTGTGTGCAGGCCGGCCACTTCTCCCACACTCTGCACAGATGCAATTGCACTCACCAGGAATGTGGATCTTGAACTTGCCACTCTGGCCGAAGGCACTGTCGATGACGCCCTGCTCCCCTGTGGACAGCTGCACCTTAAGCCCCACAAAGAGCTGGATGTTGGTCTCCTTTTTGAACAGGGAGCGTCCAATCACACTGTAGTCATCCATTACCTGTCCCCACATAGGAGAGGAGGCATTAGTAGTGCATGCGGAGAACTGGCTCTGGGGTGGTAAAGTGCTGTGCCCACCTGTTTACTCTGTTTACATCATTGTGTATGAGGTGGGCACAGCCTGGCTGTATTTGTACCTAGCCTGCCAGAATCTTGTCATCACAGCTGGAAGTGAGACTCCTCCTCTACCTGGCTGGTTTTGTCCTCTCCAACCCACTCTGCAGATGCTGTACTCAGCCTCTAAGTCAGACCCTACTATAGGAAGTGCTCCTCATTCTGGCAACTGCTATAGAAAATGCATTCACAGATCTCTCAGTATGCATGCTGCTTCTGGGAAAATGTCCTTTAGATATGCCTATCCAGGTGGGAAATGACAGCATACAGGCTACTCACTACTACTGTCTAGTAACACAGGCCTTGGATCAATCCAAGTCCCAGCCTACATGCAGAAAAATGGTGCAAGGCTCCCACTGGCCACACTGACCACAAAGAGGAAAAGGTATGAAGGACAGAGGGCACTGCGTTGGCATCAGCAAAGCTGTGTGCAAGAGGGGGTACATGAAATCAGAAGAAGCTGCTGCCTCAGGGGCAGGGCATGGAGTGCCTGAATTTTCCACTATATATCTTTCCTACATTCTGATCTTTGAAATGAATGAATTAATCTGTTTAAAATTAAAAATTAAGCTAGGTGGTGGTGCTACACGCCTTTAATCTCACCATGGGAGGCAGAGGCAGGCAGATCCCTGTGAATTTTAGGCTAGTATGTTCTACAGAGCAAGTTCTAGGATAGTCAGGGCTACACAAGGAAACCTTGTCTTGAATACACACCCCAAAAAACCAAAACCAAACCAAAACAAAAAATTAAAATAAACAGGTAATTATTTGTCTTCCACTCTAAGCAGGCACACCTAGTCTTTCTTGATAGCCACAAGCAGAATACAGTCTCTTCCAGTCACTTCGAGTGGCTGATTCCTTCTGAGGTATATGCCCTGGGCCACTGGACTGTCTCCTGCTAAGATGCAGAAACATCTCACTGCTACTAAAGATGCCTGGATCTGGCCAAGCACATTAGATGGATTGTTTTGAAAAGTAGAAACTGTCTCATTTACCCTAAAAACCTTTGGAAAAGCATATCCTATTCTCCTTGATTCATAGCAGTAGATAAAAGGGACCGCATTCCTTCTCTCCTGGTGATTGATGAATTGGATACAAACAATGATAAGAATTACAGTCTCCACTTGTGCAGCCCTCTGTAACTCAAAAGCCTCTTTCCCACACAGCAATTCCTCCTTTTCCTCCGAGATAGCTCCAGCAAGCTCCCCCAGGGCAGCCCCTGCTCTTAAGGGTGGGTCTACCTACTTGGCTCTCTGAGCCAGCAGTGCTAGCCTTCTGCTCATTGGTATCCAGGAAGTTCCACTGATCAGGCTTTAGGAAAGCTGCGCCTATCCAGGTGGTGGTGGCACACACCTTTAATCCCAGCACTTGGGAGGCAGAGGCAGGTGGATCTTTGAGTTCGAGGCCAGCCTGGTCTACAAAAAGAGTTCCAGGACAGTCAGAACTGTTACAAAGAGACTTCATCCTACCTAAGGAGTCAGACTGGAGGAGCAGCACACAGGGATCTGGCCCAGGCCTGCCAGGCCCTTTGCAAAGTCTATGCTGAAACGCAGACCAGCAGCCGGCATGATATAGCTCCCTCCTATACTGACCAGGATGCCGACGCTCACTGGGACAGATACACCTGAGACTCAGACTCCCTCCAGCATCACTTTGTCCAAGAAATAAGAAAGGTAGTCCTTGGACTAAGAGTTCATAGCTCACTTTGAAAGCATCTTTTAAAAAGCATCAACAGTAGGGCCTGGTGGCATGTGCCTGTGATTCCAGATCTCAGGAAGGCTGAGACAGAAGGATAATCATGTGTTCAAGGAGAATGTGGGGTGCTTAGAAAGTTCAAGGTCAGCCCAGGCTATATACTACTAGTCAGACCCTGTCTTTAAAAAATTAAAAGTTTGGCGAGGCAGTGGTGTCACACGTTTTTAATCCCAGCACTCAGGAGGCTAAGGCAGGTGAATCTCTGTGAGTTCAAGGCCAGTCTGATCCACAGAGCAAGTTCCAGGACAACCAGAGCTACATAGTGAGACCCTGATTCAGGAAACAAACAAACAACCCACACCCAAAAAGTTCATTACTGAGACCAAACCAATAACAAATTCAACCCATAAGCACCTGCAGATTCTCTTTTGCCTCCTGAGTGCTGGTATTAAAGACATGTGACACCATGCCCAGGACCACAGTGTTGTTTTAAGAATCGAGGTAAAGGTGTGGGACTAGTGGGCCCTTTGTGACTTCACCAGAGGCTCCAGGGGCTCTATCTTGCTGGCTGGCTTCAGATCTGCTATGACAAGAGTGGCAGCTAAAAGCATTTTAAATCCAAAAGAAGGGTATCTGTCATTCCTGGTTTCTTGTTTTATGGCCTGGCCAGGAGACATACTAGCACCAAATAGGTTCATTGTGTCCTCTGAGTCTTCATTCCCAAGTGTAGATTAAGCCCAAGAAGGGTGGAGACTGAATTCAACCCCCAGGTTCCTGTGCATTCCCTGGACACTGGTGGCCATGCCTGCTTACAGCTCTTATTATCACTTAACATAACTGAGTGGTCATAAAAGACTTTACACAAAAGACTGAGTGATCTTTGCATTGTGTCAGCCTGACACAGGAGACTGAGGGTGACCTAGGGTGGCACTATGAGTGTGCTTACTCCTGAGGACAGTGCTGGAGAGCAGAGGAAGCCATCAAGTCCATTTCACCACAGACTGTCAGGTGGGTGCCTCTCATGCCGCTCAGAGATCAAGCGGGGGTTGTTCTGTCTACTTTTCACAAGACCCAAGGGGCAGGGGAAATGTCTCTGCTGTGAATGAGTCCAGCATGGTTTTCTCTGATGTCTTGGGCCTATGTTAACTGTCTGACTCAGTGGTGCTGGAAGCCTAGCCCAGGGGGACGGAGACGCCCCAACCCTGCTTGCCCCAGCTCAGGGAAAACCCTGCCACAGTAGAGGAGATGGTCCCTATCTATTGTCAGGGACTCTACTTTCCACAAGTGTTCTAGAGGGAGGAGGCAGGGATGGAAGGTGGAACTGGCAACGTAATGGGATCTAGAGACTAGCACCCTTTCAGATTGCCCGGTCTAGCTGCCCATGGTATGGCACTCAACCCAGAACACATCAAAGAAGCCCAGTGGTCCAATTCACAGACTCTTGCAGTGAGAGGAGACCACAGAGAGCAGACACCAGTCACCACAAGGAAAGCACTGCCAGAGCAGTTGGAGGGCTTGGGTTCTGAATCAATCACCATGTCAAACTGAAGGCAATGCCTGTGGGGTTTGATGGTAGCCTTGTTCCTGGGGACAATGCTGAACACAGGCCAGCGGTCACAATAGCTCAAGTGGGGACTTTCACTGCTTGCATGAGTAATTTGCTTCATCTACCCGCAAGTGGTTGCTGGAGGGATCAAGCTCCCTCAGCAGTTACAGCTGTGTATCCACGTCCAGGCTCTTGCTGCCATGCCAGGAGAGTCCCCATTGTCCCCAGCGTTTGAGCAGGGACTTGGCTGCTGGTGCACATAATTATGTCATTACATGTGTCTCTCTTCCAGGGCTTGGTTCCCAGGATGAAGCTTGGGAATTGCCCAAGTTCTGAAGCTTCAACTTAGTTTACCATGCAGGAAGGGAAGTCACTACGAAAAGAGTTGAGCCAGGTTCTCCACTAGAGTGAGGGGAGAAGACCCCCTGTCTCCAGAAGAGAAATGGCTCTAGTTGCTTGAGTTCTGGCCCTGTCTCTTATGGCATCATGGCTTGAGGCAGGGGACTTCTCTGAACCCCAGTATTTTCATAACATATATTGTTAGGGTTAGGACACTGATACTGGCCAGAACACCAGACTTGACAGCAGAATGACCATTAGAACAGACTCTGCATTAGTGAATGTCACGCTGAAGTGGAGGATGGAGGGACATGTGGGGCAGGTGATCTAACATACCTAGAAACCCTAGATGCAGTTGTCAGAACTTCTGGACAGGAAGGAGGGCAGGATCACACTCAGCATTCATAGTCAGCAGGGTACCCCAGTCTCTACTTCTCCCTTCCACTCTGGACAGTATCCTGGGAGAAGACAGGGACCAGCAGTCTCAGGAGCAAGGGGCTCCTTGCTATTCAGGTGTCACCTCTTCCAGTCCACCTGAAGTCACTGACACCGACAACCATAATGGTGTGCTCTTTGCGTGTCGGCAGAAAACACTGTCCTCTTCCTCCTCCTCCCCAGCAGCATGGCCTGGTGGAAAAGCAGAGGCCCTAGGGTAACCCATGGGATGGGGCTGGTTCTTGCCTCACCACGATAGCACCCAGACAAGCCAATTCACCTTGCTGTGCCTTAGGCTCTGCTTCTGTAAAACCAGACACAGTTCTCTGCTTCTCAAGGCTGCTGCAGGGATGAGACAGGTTTCTGGCACCAAAGTCTGTGAGTAGTGAACACCATGATCATATGCCCGGTGTCAACCCCGGGACAATAAGTTAGCCTGTGATGGTCTCACCTCATCAAATATGCTCCAGAGGCTCCAAACCTGAGACCTGGGCTGCCCGGGATGGTAGCAATACAGCTCTGCTCACCACAGGCTCTCAGGCTTGTAAGGTTGTTTTCCTCAAGCCAGGCCTCCTTCCTCTCTGAACATTCCTTACCTTTTGTATATGTGCAGCCATCACTTGAGTCTCTCTTGGATAAAGCCTATGTTGGAGCTACAGAGGTTCTACGTGATGACTCCCCGCCAGCTGCCCTCCATGGGGAAAAGGAGATGAGTATTTTAGAGCACTATGTGCCAGCCACTTGGCCTTCTCAACTCCCCACCACAGTATTCTTACAGAGAAGCCATAGCCATGCTAGTTGGGGCCCCAATTCAGTTCTAGTTTCCAGACTAGCTTTCTACCGTTTCCAGCCACCTGACCCTGCATCTACTT